GTTGGTAGTTTGATAGGGATTGCATTGAATCTATAGATTGCTTTGGGTAGTATAGCCATTTTGACAATATTGATTCTTCCAATCCATGAACACGGTATATTTCTCCATCTGTTTGTGTCCTCTTTGATTTCTTTCATCAGTGTTTTATAGTTTTCTATGTATAGGTCTTTTGTTTCTTTAGGTAGATATACTCCTAAGTATTTTATTCTTTTTGTTGCAGTGGTGAATGGTATTGTTTCCTTAATTTCTCTGTTTTCTCATTGTTAGTGTATAGGAATGCAAGGGGTTTCTGTGTGTTAATTTCATATCCTGCAATTTTACTATATTCATTGATTAGCTCTAGTAATTTTCTGGTAGAGTCTTTAGGGTTTTCTATGTAGAGAATCATGTCAAAAAGATGTATTTCTTAAGAAGACCTTCAGGGGGGATCATTTTGGGGAAGACCTTAGATCGCCAGAGCAGGTGAGCTGGGGAGGTGTTTTGGGCTGTTTGCTCCTTAGCTGAGCTTCGAGGCCTGGGATGGGGGTGGCAGCAGGGAGGGACCATATGGGGTGGAGAGAGCAGGAGGGTGGTCTTTGGAGCCCCTGTCTTGACTTCTAGCATTGGAAGTGGTGTTGCTTGGCTGGCAGAAGGGAGTGATCTTACACCCTATCAGGGAGCACCCAATGTTATCATGACGTTTAGTGGGATAACAGTGTCTGCAGACTGCAGAGTGACATGCATCTGGTAAAGCCATAGGAGAGGAATGAGGATCTTCTAAGGCTTGAGGGAGAGGCTCTGTCCTGCTTGGACAGGTCATTCCTGATGACGAGCAAGCCGGGGTCCTGAGGAAGTCTTCATTCAATCATTTTGCACTTAGTATCTACCTTGTGCCAGATGATGTGGTCACACACAGGTGGGAAAATTCTGGGCTGGGGGTTAAGATTCGCGTCTCCTCTGGGAAAGCATGTTCGAGCCTCCACCTTATCTTGGGTGTGTCATACACACATCAAGGGTGAGGTCCAAGATCAGGACAGTCCTGCCCTCCTGCCTGAAGTCCTCCTGGTGGCTCCTGCACTGGGGGCTCCTGTGGGGGACTTTTTTCCTTCAAGGTGAGGCTTGTAAAACAGGTTGAGGAGTCAGGTTAAGAACTCACAAGTGGTCTGCTCTGGGCTCCCACCTCCCCCTACCGTCAGGGACCCTGCAGCAGACCTGTGAGTTCCCCCATTATTTGGACTGCATGGTAGAGAATCAGCCCCCAGGACGGTCTCCCCAGCAATTTCTCCAGTTTCACGGGCCAGCTGGGGTTCCAGAGTGTCTGACTACCTATTCATTCTCAAGACAGAGCCTGCTATGAGTCTCTATAAGAGTCTGAAGTTTCCCCCCATCTGCCTTTTTCAGGGGCGGGGCCTGACCTGCTGTGGGCTTTGACAAGTGCCCAGGTATGGGAAGGGGCATCCCTCTGCTTGGCCATCCCTCCATCCTTGGCAACCATGGTGCTGTTTACAGTTCAGACTGCAAAGCCCTCTTGTGCCTGGCTTTTCTCTGCTCACTGCTTTGTGCTGCCTGGGCCACATGGGGCTGGCAGGTTGGTGGGTAGGACGCTTCTGGCTCTCTCCCTCGAAGGCCCTGCTCTTGGGCACATGAAAGTCACTCTGCTGCTCACCACACCTTTGGGGCCAGGGGAGCTCTGAGGTGTGGCCGTCTCACAGGCACTCACCTGCTTGAGGGTCTGCCTGCCTCCCTCTCTGCTCAGGGCCTCCCAAACATCTGTCTCCTATGGTCCCTCTCTTCTTAGGGACTCTTGTTCCTGCTTCCTTTCTCTTCCTCCCTCTTGAGCAGGGGAGCGTTCCTGTGTGCACATGTTCCTCCCATCCTGTCCACACCCCATCCTCTCAGGGGCTAGGCTTTCGGAGTGTTCAAGTCCCTTTTCCATTTTCTGAGGCACTTCCACCACCTAAGACACTGAATACAGAATTCAGAATACCCCTCTGAGGGGCTAAGGGAAAACAGGAATGGCCAGGGAGACAACCGCTTCATTGAAACATTTCAGAACAGCCTGACCACTTCCCAGAATCCCTTAACAAATTCAGAACTAGAGTCCTCAAGCAAGAATCATCTTTACTGCAACTGTGATTTTCCATTGTGACTGTAGCCATTCTTGGACTCTCAAGGGCCTGGAGCACTTGTGGCTGAGGGGAGGGACTGGCTCTCAGTAAGAACTGGTTATTCCTTCGAAACAGTCAGCAGCAGGTAGTCCTGTGGATAGAAGGAGGGAGATGCGTCCCTTTGGTCCACACCATGCTCAAAGCCAGCTCTCCCTGAGGCTGCTCCTGCCACTCCTGAGAGGGACTGTGTCCCCTGAGGACATGCCTTCCCCTGGTGGCCAGAGGGCACAGTCAGGAACCGACTGGACAGGGGGATAGAGTGGAGGGGGAGGAGGTTCTTGGGAATGTTTGTGAGTGAAGGGGCAGACCAGTCTTTGGGGTTTGTCCTGAGAGCCTGTGTATCAAGGTGACTCTCATATTTTTGTAGCAATGGGGTTTGTCTTGCTTGGGTCACCCTGAGGTGGGTTGGAGCCTTTCACTTGTTTGCAGCCACAATGCTTAAACCTCTGCCAGACCTGACCATGTTGCTGGAATCCATCCATTCCTGCACCCGTTTCCCACAAGAATGGGAGCTCCTGGAAGGTTTAGGCCCTGGGTCTAACTCATTTGTATCTCAGCATCACTCAGCACAGGGCCAGGCACAGAGCAGCCAGTCACATTTATTGACTGAATTAATGAGTGAGTGATGAGGGCAGCCATGGAAGGATGTAGAGGTTGTGCACTGTCCAACTCTAGGTGGTGTCATTCTTGTACACTATAGTATAGGTGGTGCATTCTAGAGCTGTACAATATGTCATCAACTTGACAGTGTGGGACAGTCTATAAGTGAATTAACGAGTAAGCCACTGAGCCCACCCACACTTTCTCCCCTTGCCTCTTGGTTGTTGTTATGGTTGTTTAGTTGCTAAGTCATGTCCAACTATTTGCAACTCCATGGAATATAGCCCCTCCAAGCTCCTCTGTCTATAGGATTTTCCAGGCAAAAATCCTAGAGTGGGCTGCTATTTCCTTCTCCAAGAGATCTGCCTGACCCCGGGATCAAACCCGCATCTCCTGCACTGGCAGGCAGATTCTTCACCACTAAGCCACTAGGAAGTCTTCCTGCCTCTATGCTGCTGCTGCTGCTGCTAAGTCACTTCAGTCGTGTCCGACTCTGTGCAACCCCATGGACAGCAGCCCACCAGGCTCCTCTGTCCACGGAATTCTCCAAGCAAGAGTACTGGAGTGGGTTGCCATTTCCTTCTCCCCCTGCCTCTATAGGTCTGGGTTATATAGTAGCTGCAGGGGCTATGCCGTGATTATTCTTCCGGGTACTGGCCCCAACAGCCAGGATTTGTGGCATCATTTCTGAGCAGGTGGGCCCCTATGTTACCTCTAGTAGCCCTTCCAGCCCTGACCTGGTAGAGTCACCTGGAGCCGACCCTTCCCAACTAGGGCCATCCTGGGTTGAATCTAGGGCAGAGTCTGAGGTTGGGGGTGGGGAGCAGCCCAGGCGAGGAGCTGAGGTTTTGTGATAGGAACTGCTGCTGTCCCCACTGCTTCCTTCTGCTCAGTAACTTCTGGTCCTTGAAAGTGGATTTCTAATGTTTCCTGAATGTCAGGACTGGGAACTGGGAGTGCTGTGTCCAGGATTTGGCATAACTGGAGGTCCTGAAGCTCAAACTGTATGTCTGGGATGGTGGGTCACATTCTGTCAAATGTTGGCCTTATCAGTTGTTTTTGTTTTTGAGGGGAACCCTCACTTCTGGCCCAGGGGGAGAATTATCTTTCTCTCCATTACGCAAACAGAGACAACAGGCTGAGAGACTGCTAGTGGCTTACCTGAGGTTGTACAGCCTCAGAACCAGGAGGTTCTGTGATTCTCTCTCTACCCTGCACCAAACATCCCTTCCTGTGCTGCTGTTTAAGAGTGGGGGTCTTTTAAAGACAGGAACAAAGAAATGAAGGTCATTTCTAAGCTCTGTCCTTTCCTATCAGCCTCTTCTCAGGTTCATGCACAGAGGGAAGATCAGAGGGCCGAAGGGGCGAGGTGACTCTGGGGGAAGATTCAGAGCTGGCAAATGCTGATGGAATGACCTCCATCTTCCCTTCCTGGCATTCAGATAGTAGGTGCAAGAGGCAGCAGCCCTGTTTTGGGGGGTCAGGATACCCAATTCTAGCATGGTGGGTGTTCCAGGCTAAGGGTACAGGCTTTGAAGTCAGATGAACCCCAGTTGGAATCTTGGTTCTGCTGCCCTGGGCAAGTTTCTCTACCTTTCTTTTGTAAAATGGGAAAAGTAATAGCATCAGCTTCATGGAGCTAATTGTGAAGATCACCTGTGTAAGGCCTAGAAGCTCTCGGAGAGCCAGGGGTATGGCTCCTGGAGGGATTCATGAAGCCTCCCACTCCCAAAGCCTCAGCTTCCTCATCTGTAAATGGGGCAGCCCACCCAGTATGGCTGTGATAAGACAGTGAGATGAGCAAGGTCAAGGGAGCACCTCCTCTGCCAGAGCCTCAGCGTCCCCATCCGTGGGATGGGGACAAGCCCCTATGGGACCCCACGGCCGCTGTAGCTCTGACCTCCCACGTGGGCCCCCAGAAGCTCCTTTTCCCAGCATTTACCTCGGAGGGCTCCATTCGCGCCTGGTCAAAGGAGATGCCCTTGATGTTGGGCAGCAGGAGGCCTTGTTCTCTGAGCAGGTCTGCAGGAGGGGAGGGCGGGGAAGCTCAGTGTGCTGTGGGCAGGTGTCTGTGGGGCTGGGTGTGTCCTCCTGTCTGCTCTCCCAGATAAAGTTGCATCCTTGCCCACCTGGGGGCTTCCCTGGTGGCTCAGATGGTAAGGAAACTGCCTGTAATGCGGGAGACCTGGGTTCGATCCCTGGGTCAGGAAGACCCCCTGGAGAAGGGCATGGCAACCCACTCCAGTATTCTTGCCTGGAGAATTCCATGGACAGAGGAGTCTGGCAGGCTACAGTCCATGGGGTCGCAAAGAGTTGGACATGACTAACACTTGCCCACTTGGACTCTGGCTGCCTTGTTGGACTGTCTGTAACTACCATCCTCCAACCTCCAGTTGGTTCCCCTTCTTGAAAATGAATTGGCTCACTTCATGCCCAGAACCTTTCCTGGCTACCGTGGGCCACAGAACAGATGGTAAATCCTTCAGCCTGCTTGGCATTTGAGCCCCTCTCTGCTCCTCTGCCTTCGCTCTGCAGTCCTAACTCGAGTCCTGGAGCTGGAGCACAGAGGAAAGCTCATGTCAGGGAAACAAGGAGCCGGGGTTCTGGGCTCAGATCTGCCAGACTTGCAGAGTGACCTTGGGTAATTCCATGGGGGACATCTCTGGGTCTCTCTGAAAGAGGAGGAGGCTGAGCCAGGTGATTTCTCAGAGGTGAGTGTGGTCTGAACCGTTTATCCTACATGTATTAGTCTTTCCTGAGGGTCTCCTGGGTGGGAGGCACTGGACAAGGTGTAGGAACACAAAAAACAAAACCAGGCGTCCCTGCCCTCCGGTAGCTCACCCTCTGGCTGGGTCATAGGCAATGGCTAAATAATCACGTGGGTAGATGGGTGATGGGCAGCAGGTGTTGGGTAGACAGTGATGGGTAGACAGACTGCATCACGGAAGGCGGAAGGAGAGGGAAGCTGTGAGTGCCACGGGGCAGAAGAGCCTGATTGCGCTCTGCATTTCTGGAAGACTCACTTCCCTCACCCCTCCATCTTCCTGGGACCACTTCCTGCTGCCTGCACTCTGTTACCTCAGGGTCTGCTTCCCAGGAAACCCAAACTAAGACAAGGGTGTTTTGGGAAAGTTTGATTTTGTTGCTGTTATCTAAGATGGAGGCGATGTCTCAAAAAGTTCAGCTTTCTGGTGTCTCGCAAAAATATCTTCCCTGCTCTCATTTGAGCTGAGTGCTCATGCGTGCTCAGTTGCTTAGTCGTGTCTGACTCTGGGACCCCTTGAACTATAGCCCGTCAGGCTCCTCTGTCCATGGAATTCTCCAGGCAAGAATATTGGAGTGGGTTGCCGTGTCCTCCTCCAGAAGATCTTCCTGATCCAGGGATTGAACCCAAGTCTCTTCTGTCTCCTGCCTCGGCAGGTGGGTTCTTTTACCACTGAGCCACCTGGGAAGCCCCACCTGAGTGCTAGCTGCCCACTAAAGGTGGGGCGTGTTCTCCACAGGCCCGATCTGGGCTGCTTCCTGTGGGTGTGTTACCTACCTGGCCCCTGCAGGTGTAGGAACTCTGAGCTGTGGGCTCCACCACCTCTGAGGGCCTCTCTTTTTCTTACTTTCCGTCATGTTACCCCCACCTCCCTATGAAGCCCTTCCTCGCCCCACTCTGAGCTCTTGTTACCACTAGTGGCCTGAGCAAAAAACAGGAGGGCACAGGTGGCCCCTCTTCCACCCCTCATCTGCCACCCCCAGACTTCAGGGTCTCTGCAATTCTCAAGTGAGCCCAGGGGACAAGGCAGAAGCCAGCTGTCTGCGTGGGGCTGCAGGCACGGCTGATGTGGCTCCCAGCCGCCTGGTATGCGGGCCTGAGTAGAAACTCAGTGGTGCTCACTGTTGTGATGGGGCAGGACCCTCCAGTTCAGAAACCTGAAGAGAAAGGCCTCAAGACGTTCTTTCTACAAGAAATGAAAGAGGAACAGGAAGGTCACTTCTTCCGGATTCCCACCATGGGAATGGAGGGCCTCCAGTGTCCAGGTGCCCACAGGAGACCAGGAGTAGTTCTGGGAACTCCACTATTAAAGGGCATTGGAGCCAGACGACCAGATTCGTGAAGGGACTGGGAAACATTGGGGGCCCTGAAAAAGGGTCACCTCACCCCAGGTCACAGCAAGATTCTTTGTTTCTCTGCAGGGCAGTCCAGCAAACCGGTTGGGCCAGAGAAAACCCCAGGGCCAGAGCTTCATGGGGACCAACTTAAATGGATCAAAGAATGAAACAGACAAGCTGACATTCTGAGGGTTCTCCCCACCCCTGTGGGTAGGATAAGATCACCCAGAAAGCGAGTGAGGCTTCCCACCCCCACATCAGAGGCTCAGGGCCTTCTTTCAGGCCTGTGCGTGGGTCCTTCAGAACCATGAGAAGCCAAGGGTAAGGAAAGAGACTCACCTGCTCTGCAAGGCCAGCGGGGTAAGGGCCCAGAATGACTGTAATGCTATTGGAAAAGAGATCACCCTTTTAGGTCATGGCAGTTGCTTGGGGTGGGAGAAGGGTGCAATGTTCAGTGACTTCAAGTCTCAACACACCTCCCCCTGCCCCTTCCTTCCCTCCTCCTCTCAGTGGCTCCATTCAGCTGACAGTGAGCTGGGAGACTTGCACCCCGAAACCACACTCTCTGTCAACCCTCTCATTTTTTTCCTGAACATCCCAAACCAAAAATATTTACCTGTTTGGAGTGAACTGAAGTTTTAACTCCTGGTTTTTTGAGGAAAACACAGCCTTTGAAAGGAATTTCTATGAAGAGTGGAGATTAGGTCAGAACCGGAGAGGAATTCACATTCCAGACGGAGGGATTTCCTGCACCCCCACCCTACATTGTCCAGGGCCAGCCCCCCTCACCCCATCCTCTCCCCAGCCCCAGCTGCTGGCTCCTGTGAGTTCAGACCATGAATGTGTGGGTGTTGCCACGGGAGAGAGCACTGGGGCGGGGGTGGGTGCTGGGTGCTCCTGGAGGCCAGGGCTGGATACAAGGGGAGGCGGAAGCTCAGCTCAGTGGAGGGAAAGCTTTTTGCAGTGAGTCATTTGGTGGTGCAATCACTTACTGGAAGCCAGTGAACCCCTTGGTTTTGAGGGGGTTGTCCCTGGGTCTCCATAATTTATTCAGTTACCTCCTAAACTAGAAACTAGAATTTTTACTGCCAGCCAGATATGACTGATCTCTGGTCCAGAGAATCATGCCAGCTAAGTTCCCAGGATCCAGTTACACACACCAGATGCTCCTAAACTCGCCTATAATGAAGCAACCTTTCTGCCCCATAGTTGTTTAGTTGCTAAGATGTGTCACACAGCGTCTTCCCAATTTCAAGGTCTGCGGAGTGGGAAGTAGGAACCCCAGCGGGGCTCAGGATAGAGGGGTTGAAACTTCAATGAAGCTGTCTTTCCCCAGAATTCCTGCCAGGGTCCAGCCTTCTCTAGCTTGGGTCACCTCTCTCTCTCTCAGGGAGCAGAGAATACAATCACATTTAGCCTTTCATGAACTCTGTTTCTCTGAGTTTTCTCCTGGTTTTGTGGACAAGGGTTTCAATGCAGCCATGTCCAGAAGAGACAGTCAAGAGGGTATCAGAGGCAAAACCTTTTAGCTGCTGAAGAAATCTCTTGGGAGCACGGGGGCTGGACTTAGGGGAGCAGGTGTGAAAGTATTTTAGTTTTCTCACAACAGGCATGGCTATGGAATGTTAGCAGATGTCATGGCGGCGAGGTTTGCCACTGCCCTCTGTCACACTGCCTCAGTCAGCTGGGCCTGGAGGGGCCCTCAAGTGGCCCCAAGCTCCTTGAGGAACAAAGGACTTAGAGGCTTACTCACCCAAGAAACTGAGACGGGGGAGGTGTTGCTGGACCCCAGCAACAGCAGGGAGCCCGGCTGGATGACAGAGGCTGTGTGGCCATCAAGGCGGACAGTGGGAGGCTCAGGGATGCTGATGGTCAGTCCCACGTTCCCTCTGAACTGATCAGAAGTCTAAATAAGGGGAAAGCAGAGAAGGTGCCGGCCGGGACAGAAGACGGTGTTCCTTAGCCCCCAGCTGGGAAGGACGGGAACAAGGCCATCTTAGGAGTCAGGGTATCTGTGTTTTCACTCTCGTTCTCTAGCAACTTGCTGTGTGACCTTAGGAAGGTCACTTACCCTCCCTGAGCTCCTCTGACGTGAAATGACATCCCCTTTTTCTGGGCATGCAAAGCAAATAAGAGTATAGATTTTGGAGCCAGAGTCTAGTTCTGCTGCTTCTAAACTGTGTGGCCTGAGACAACTCTTTTAATTTCTCTGTACCTCAACTTTCATGCTTGCATTGGGTTGGCCAAAAATCTCCTTTGGGTTTTTCCATAACAGTTTTTGGAATGAACAAACTTTTTGGCCAACCCAATAAAATGGGGATAATAATCATACCTACCTCAGCAGGTTGTTGTGGTGATTAAATGAGTAAATTAATGTAAAGTGCCTAGAAAGGAACTTTGCTCCTAGTAGCACTATTGTTATCTATTGTGTGTGTGTATGTGTTTGTGTGTGTGTGTTAGTTGCTCAGTCGTGTCCGACTGTTTGTGATCCCATGAACTTCTCTGTCCATGGGATTCTCCAGGCAAGAATACTGGAGTGGGTTGCCATTCCCTTCTCCAGGATATCTTCCTGACCCAGGGATCGAACCCAGGTCTCCTGCATGGCAGGAAGTTGCTTGACCATCTGAGCGAGCCACCAAGGAAGCCCTGTCTACTGTGGTTATTGTCATTATTCTGTGTTCATCAGGTTCCCTGTTCTCAGAGCCTTTGGAGAGCGCATGCTGAGCATGGATCTTGGAGTCTGGGACCAGAACAAATCCTGGTTCTGCCTCTTACTGAGCAATGTGAGTGTGGGCAAGTGAAGTCACTCTGCTCAGCCTCAGTTTGCACAAGTGTCAAAAGGTGGGTGAGAGCGCAGGCTTTTCGAGGATTATGTTGATGTAGGTGGAGCGGTCTGGCACACAGTCTCTGCTCACTGCTATCTGCCATGTGCTTGGGTATGCCTTAGCAGGCTTGGGGTTTTATTCAGTACTGAATAATGACAGCCTCATGGCCATGTCACCTGGGTGGGACAATGAGCTAAGTGAACTGTCCCTTTCAATCACTTGTGAAGAAGGTACAGTGATTTCCAGAGTCCACAGGAGGAAAGTCTGGCCAAATGCAATGTGCCTGTGTGGCCCAATCCTGTCCTCTGTTCTAGAATCTTTCCTGAGATCCTGCCCGAGGTGCTGGGGGAGAAGCAGGCAACACACCCACCTTGGGCTCAGGCTCCAGTGCACTCAGTGACAATAGCTGGATGAGGTTGGCAGCCTAGAAAAAGGGCAAGATGTGCATTGGCCATTAGAATCCTGCAGATCCTTTCTGAACAGGTTCATGGGGTGGGAGGGGTGTCAGCGGGGTTCAGTGAGATGTAATTGTCCCCAGCTAAAGGTACCACTGGCACACCACTCAGTCTCAGCATAGGAGGAGCCATTCATTTGGCTTCTCACCATGATTTACCTGGAAAGGTTGACATTATTGTGTCAATGATTCCTCCCAGCCCCTGGCCAATGTTTTATTGTGAAAATTTTCTTTCTTTTAAAAAATAATAATAATTATTTATTTGACTCTACCAGGTCTTAGTTGTGGCACATAGGATCTTTAGTTACAGTATGCAAACTCATAGTTGCAGCATAAAAGATTTAGTTCCCTGACAAGGTATCAAACCTGTGCCCCCTGCATTGGGAGCTTGGACTCCCAGCCACTGGATCACCAGGGAAGCACCATGTGAAAATTTTCACACATGCAGCAAAGTTGAAAGAATTTTATAGAGAACATTTGTATGCTTAGTATCTAGATTCTTCTATTAACATTTTCCTGCACTTGCTTTATCATGTGTGTATTTAACTATCTGTGCTCTGTTGATTTTTGAAAATCATAAATCACCAGAGCAAACACTATAAAATGTATACAGTAAAAATTAAAAGTCCATCTGAACACTTTTCCCCCTTTTCCCCTAAATCCTATTCTCAAGGGTAACCACTATTGACATTTTGGAGTATATACTGACTGTTTTCTACACACACAGAAGAATGAATAGATGGGAACATTCTAACCACATGGTTCTGCACCTTGTTTATTCCTCTCAACATCAGTACCTATAGAACAACCTCATTCTTTTAAACAGCTGCCTCGTATTCCACCATACATGACCGTAACATGACTTATTTTTTTACCAATTCCTTATTGATGAACTCCTAGTTTAACTTTATTTTTCACCCTGTAACAAGTGAGGCTGCAAAGATCACCCTTGCATATGTACCCTCACCCAGTGGTGTAAAAATTTCTGTGGACATGGGTTCACAGGGTTCATATCTAGACTTAGAGGTGTCACCTGCGTGGAAAGGAGGGAACAGTGTGGAGAAGCAGGAGTCTTGGCTCTAGCCCTGCTCCTACCTGCTGGGTGACTTGGGAAGTCACTTTCCCTGTCTGGTCCTTGGTTTCCTCATGTAAAAAATGGAGCAATAACACTAGGTTTCTTCCAGATATGGATCTTGGGATTCTGTATTTCAATATTTACTGAGCACTCACTGTGTACAGAGTATACAGAGTATTCACAGAGTATACTGTTCACAGTCCCCAACCTCAGAATGAGGGAGACAGTGAACAGGCAAAGCTAAGGAAATGAACACACAAATATGCATATGTGTGTTTATGTGTATGTATTACATATGTATACATATATATATGACTCTGCACATATAACTTTACTCATACGCATATACACAGTTTGATCTATATTTTGAAGAGAAGAGAATAGAAAGAGAGAGGCAGGGTGGAGAGAGAAAAAACTTACTCTAGCTATTTAGATGTGGTGGCCGGGGAGTGGCTCTCTGAGGTGATGACATTTGCACTGAGGACAACAGTGGAGGGAAGATTGTTCCAGGTAGGGAGAGAGTGTGTGCAAAGGCCCTGAGGTGAGCACCAGTCCAGCCTGTGTGACTGGAGTCTAGTGGGTGAGAAGACAGAGCTAGGGAGGTGGGCGGGGCCAGACCACACAAGGCTCCAGGGCTGTGGAGAGGAGGCTTGATTTTATTCAGAGTGTGATGGGGAGATGCTGTGGGCTGTTGAGCAGTAATCGATCTGGATTTTTCCATTTGACCCCCTTGTAGACCCTGGGAACTTGCTCTTCTTGTAGACTTGTGTGTGTGTGTGTGTGTGTGTGCCTCTTTGCTACCATTCAGGCCACTTCCTCAGAGACGTCTTTACTGACCTCAGTGTCCAGGGCAGCCCTCTTACCTCCAGCGGTCACTTGCTAATCCACTGCTCTGCTCATTATAAATAGATACATTATTTTATTTATCTGACTGTTTTCTTGTTTAGTTTCTATTCCAATAGACTTTGACCTCTTCAAGGGCAGAGACCCTGTGTGTACAGGGCATGGCACACAGTAGGCCTACAATACATATTTGCAGAATAAATGTTATGAAGAGAGGAAAAACAAAGGGGCCTGGGTGTTCAAAGAAGTCTTTCTAGAGGAGGGAACTTCTATACTGGGTTCTGAAGTTTGAATAGGAGTTCTCCAGGTAAGGTCCAGAGAGAGAAAGTGACTTACCTGGGCCCACCAGAAAGGTACTTCTAAAAAAAAAAAAAAAGGCACTTCTGTCATTTGGGCCTCAGTTTCTTCATGTGAAAAATAGAGCAATAAAGTAATGTACTCCACTTCTTCAAGCACTCACCATGGGGTCCTGGGAGTTCACATGGATCTCCTTGCTGGTGTACAGGCAGGACAGGATGTCATTGTAGGTTTCCAGTGAAAAGACCAGGTCTGCCAGGCTGCCCTGGGCTAATTTTGGGAGGGGCTTGGGGGTCAGATAGTCAGGCCTTGGGACTCTCTCGCCTGGGCCGCATGGGGTCACAAGCTTCAGAAAAATGAAGGAGAAATTCAGTGAGAACAACCTCCCTGGCCAAAAACTGGTTACAGTTAATATGTAGAGGATTCACTATGTGCCAGACACAGTGCTGAACACTTACAGGCACATTTCAAGCTCACAGTAGCACCGGGAGATGGAAACCATTTGATAGGTAAGGAAACGAGGCCCAGGGGGCTCTGAAGTGACTTTCTCAAGATCCTATACATGGTAAGAGGTGGAGCTTGGTTTTGAAACCATGAGCTTTGCTTCCTTGCTTATCGCTCAGGTAACTCCATTCCTTTCTCTGTGACTTTGTTAACAGCGCCTCTTTCCTATCCACTCAAATTCTCCTGTCCTCCTGACCCACCTGCTACCATCCCACGGAGGAGGGGGCAGCCAGCCTCGTCCCTTCTCCTGGCCTCAGATTCCTCATCTGAGGGTCCCTTCCATCTGGGCACTATACACTGTCTCGTTGCTCCCGGGCTGCCCCACCTGCCCTTATGTTGGATCCTAATTCTCGCTCATGGGACACACAACCCTGTGGCCTCTCTTGCTCTCCAGGGTTGAGCAGGACTCCCCAGGCTCACTGTGAGCCCTGGAGGGCAGGGCCTGCCGTTTCTGCCCTTTCTTCTCTCTTCCCCTCTTTCCTCCTCTTTTGCCCACCACTTTCTTTGCTTGCTCTTTGTCTTCTTCCTATCCAGAGAGGCCTCACCTCATTCTCCTCCATGCCCATCCTCCCCCAGACCTGTGGATGTCCCTAGAGGGTCTGCCCTGGCCAGGAGCTGGCTCACCTGGACTTTCATCAGGATGGCCTCTTCCGTGAATTCTGTGGTGGTGACATAGTACTGGAAGTCTTCTGGGCCCGAGCTGGCTGGGGCTGCAACAAAGAAATGGAAGCTGGGCTCCAGCCACCCTGGGGGATGGATGGAAGGGGAGGCTGCGAAGCAGTAGAAATTCCTTTTCCTTCTCTGCTTAGCTTTATATTCATTGTGGGATGGCCTGAGCAACTTGTAACAATGAGCATTTACTGAGCCATAACTCTGCGCCAGGTTATACATGTTATCACAATGGTCCGTTTTGTGAGTTTGTGGTTAATCCCATTTTACAGATTGGGAAACTGAGGCTCAGAGTGGGAAATGAGTTACCAAGGTCATAAGGCATAATAATTCCCCTTTCCCCTATCCACTAGGAAGTAGGTTACCCATGTGAAAGCTTTGTCTGTTTTATTTCCCACCATATTCCCAGAGCCTAGATGAGTTCCTGGCATGCAGTTGAGGGGCAGCAGATAAGCCCCACTTCCCCTTGGTAAGGAGGTACGAACGCAGAGTGATATGTAACAGGTCTTCCAGCAGCGAGTTGAGCAGGGTTGTGGCAGTGGGGCACACCTGGAGCAAAGGCATGAGGGGGTCATCGTTGAGGTTGGGGTGAGGTCAAGGGGCCAACCTAGGAGTCATACCCCTCTTTCAGGGGACAGGGACAATGAGCAACTCACTATCTTCTGCAGGAGGAAGGGCAATGCCTCGTCCAGGACATCTGTCACCAACCTCAAAGCTTCGTTCACCAGGAGGGGGTTCATCCTAGGGGCATGGAGAGCAGATGGGGTCTCAGACACCATGGAAGGGGAGACTGAGGCCAGAGGCGGTAGTCCAGACAGGGCGGAGGTGATCCCAGCGAGTCTGTGTAACAAGGAGGCTCAGGATGGCTGCTTCCTTTCCAGCTTGGTGTCCCTCTTCTCACCGCTCCCCTCTTTCTCCCCTTTCCTTTTCTGTTTTCTCCCCTTTTTGCCTTCTTGCTTTCTCTCTCCCAGACTTTGTCCTCCTCAACTTTATTTCTTCGTGAGCCTCCCTCTCTGCCTCTGTCACTTTATTTCTGTCTCTGATAAAGTTCTCTGGGATTTTCAAAGAGGTCGAGATCACAGCTGGCAGTGGAAGTCAATGGAAGGCTTCCTGGAGGAGGTGGCTTTTGTGTTAGGTATACTAAGAATCATAGGTAGGGGACTTCCTCGGGGGCCCAGTGGTTGAGAATCCACTTTCCAAGGCAGGGGGCCTGGGTTTGATTCCTGATTAGGGAACTAGGATCCCACATGCCGCTGGACAACTAAGCCCATGCTCTCTAGAGCCTGCGTACTGCAACGAAGACTGGACACAGCCAAAAATACATACATAAATGGTTTTTAAAAAAGAGTCGCAGGCAGTGGCCACTTTATGTGGCCCGTTCTGTGCTCAGCAGCTCACATAGGTTAGCTCATCTCTCCCTGACAACCACCCTGGGCGGCCAGGGTTCTCTGAGTGATACTGTTTATTGGCTAGAAAACTGAGGCTCCTGGAAGTCAGATAGCTTGGCCAGGGCTCCCAGTGTTAGGAAACAGCTGAGCCAAGATTCAACGTGCATGGATGCACACTTTGACCATAACACTCAACACGGGGGCAGGAGATGCTGATGGATGGTGTGTGCAACTGGTGGCCTTGGAGATGACCCTGTCCCTGACAACCTAGGCTGGGGAGAGGCAGCCCCCGCCTGGAGTCTCAGTGGAGGGCTGAGCACAGGAAGGGGGTGGGTACTCACTGCTCCAGAACCTGGATGCTCAGGTACCCTGGTGGGGTGTGGCACTCCTCAAAGGCCACGTGGGTCTTGTTCCCCGTCTGCTCCAGCCGAGCCCCAATACGGATGTTCTTGATGACTCTGAGCCGCAGGATCCTGTAGGCACAGCGTGTCTGGGCAGGCTCCGTCACAGCCCAAGACAGAGTCCAGAACTCACTGGCAGGTGGGGCCCTGCCATTGTCTGGAGGGCTCATTAAAAACATGGAGTTCCAACTTTGGAAAAACCTAAAAGATCTGGCAGCTCTGGGCCAGTGTCCTCACAGGGTGGCTGATGTGAGCTGGACATGGGCCATGTGTGCTCCAGTTTACTACAGTCCCCACCAGGCCAAGGGTCACGTGCATTTTTACTGTGTCATTATAAGGGCGACAGTGTTTCTTGTATAACAGAGATATATTTCTCTGTGGCCACATCCCTATCAAAGAAATATTTCTTGGTGCTCGCTTTTCAATTAGAAAGGGAAGCTAAACAAAAAATGCCATATTTTACAAAAATAATTTTGTTTATTGGTGAGATTGGATGTTCCCAAGGGCAACATAAGGAGATTTCCTATTTGATGTGCCAAGGCTGCCCGTATCGCTCCCTCTGTTGTCTGTTGTGTTTACAACCCCAGGATGGCATATCATCCACCGCTTAGTGCGTGGTCTGAGCTCTCAGACTGGCATTGAACTCTCACAACAGGCAAGGGCCACAGAGGACTTGATCATAACTCTTTGTGGATGAGCCCAGAGGACGGATGGCCTTGCTCAAGCCGAGTTCCAGTGTGCTGGGCCTCAGGGTGAGCTTGAACCAGACCCTCCTCGGATCATCCCGTGAAAGCATCCACCTTTTACTCCAGATGACACATGTCCCTTGACAGGGACGTCAGAGGGTTTATCTCAGCCTCTGCTGCAGATTCACTGGGTGAGTCACTGTGTAGGCGGGTCCCTCTCCTACAGTTTTTCCATCAGAAAAAATGACTTTGGGGAATACCCTGGTGGTCCAGTGGTTAAGAATCTGCCTTCCAGTGCAGGGGACGTGGGTTCAATCCCTATTGAGCGAACTAAGATCCCACATGCCATGGGGCAGCTAAGACTGCTGCAACTACTGAGTCCTTGTGCCACAACTAGAGAAGCCTGGGCATCATGATGAAGATCCTGCATGCAGGAACTAAGACCCAATGCAGCCAAATAAGTAAATATTTTAAAAAAGAGAAAAATTGACTTTGAAACATGCCCAAGTTTCAAGGATTACTGTGACCCTTACAGTGACACAGGCAGCAGGCTTTTGCTAGCCTTGCACGGCTGCCTGGAACTGAGAGAGGTGGGGAGAAAGCACCCACCCACCCATGCACACCTACCCCTGGAGTGAGAGGTACAGTTTGCTTCGCAACGTGACCTGCAGCAGGCTGTCACTCAGGACTTGCAAGGTGACCTCGGGTCCTTCGGAATCTTCTATGACCAACCTGTGAGCAGTGTGCATGGGGGTGTTTTTGTGTTGCCTGGTAAGCCCTTGTGACTCTGTGGACTGTGTGTATCTGTATCGGTTAGAATTCGGGCAGATACCAGGAAAGGCAGGGGCAGCTTTGGGACAACCCCTACCATGACCCTCAGGGCTTCCTTGGTGGCTCAGATAGTAAAGAATTGCCTGAAATTCAAGAAACCTGGGTTCCATCCCTGGGTCGGGAAGATACCCTGGAGAAGGGAATGGCAACCCACTCTAGTATTCTTGCCCAGAGAATCCCATGCACAGAGGACATGGACAAGGAGTCGGACATGACTGAACAACTAATACTTTCACTTTTCACTACCATGCCCAACTACAGAACACTGGGCGCTCGCTGCAGCCTCTAAGCCTTGGAAACTTGGGCAAGTCTCTTCCTTTCTTGGGGTGTCAGTGTCACCCTGCACAAAATGAGAATACAGTAGAGGAGCTATCTGTGCCCATCTAACAGGTCTGAATTCAGATAAACAAATTCTGCAAAAGAATATGAGAGCAAGCAGGAGTCAGAGAAAGCAAGATGGCTGGTGATCCCACTGCTGCCCAGGGACCACCTGCCCAGCTGAGCATCCAGGAGGGAGGACATGAGCCTCCTGCTCCCCGCGATGGCCTCAGGTCCCTGCATCTCTCTGAGCTAAGAGGAACTCAGAGTTCTTTTTAACTATTGGATACAAGCTGGTAACTCATCTGATGCCTACTGGAGTGGGCAGCAGCAAATTCCAGTGCTGGAGGAAGACCTGGGTGGGTCAGACTCCTCAAGGGTTGTATGCCTGCCTCCAGCGTGGAAACTTCCAAAGAGCTTTGAATTATGACTTGGACCTTGTGTGTTTTTTCCTATGGGCTTTCCAAGCCTGTGCCAGGCTGGGTGGGCAGAGGTGGGGCCAATGCATGGGCAGGGGTGAGTGGTGGCCAGTCCTACCGCTCACTGGGGCGGGTGTGGGCCCAGCTCCCCCTCCAGGCCTCTCTGGGAAGCACCCCCACCCTCCCCAGTGCTCTGACTTTTCATTCCATTCCACCCTCATCAGAAAACTTCTGGACTCTCATTGTAGGGCTTCTCTGGCTCTCCCTGCTCACGCTGAGAGATGGATTTGGAGGCATACCTGTGACTACTGAGGTTGACCTTGGAGGAACCCATGCCCCAACCTACATAAGCAGCATTCACTTATGCTGGTACTTATTTTACCAGAAGTTGTGACTCGGCACTGACTTAGGAACTAAGGACCCCACATGCATAACTGTCATGGGGGAGATCAGGCCAGCTGGGCCAGATCTTGGTAATAGAATTGCTATTATGGGTTGAACTGTGTCTGTCCCCCNCCCCCCACCCCGCCACCGCCCAGTTCATATATTATTGAGTTCCTAACCCCCAATACCTTATAATGTGAACTGATTTAGAAATAGGGTTGTTGCAGATAGAGTTAAGATGAGGTCATCCTGGAGTAGGGTGGGGCTCTTGTCTAATGTGACTGGGGTCCTTGTCCAAAGGGGGAATTTGGACACAGACATAGACACACACCCGGGGAGATTGCCAAGTGAAGATGAAGGCAGAGATCGGGTGATGATTCTACAAGCCAAGGAAAATGAAAGATTGCCAGCAAGCCTCCAGAAGCTAGGGGAGAGATATGGAAAATGCCTGATTTCAGACTTCCAGTCTCCTGAATTTCTGTTGTTTAAATGACTCAGTTTGTTGGACTTTGTCACAGCAGCCCTAGCAAACTAATACAATCAGGAAACCTGGACTTTTATTAAAACCCTCCAGATTTATTAAAAAAAAAAAAAAAAAAACACTGTGCAAGTGTGCAATACCCAGGTGTAGGCTGAATGTGGAGGGTTGGCGGGCTGCCCAGCTAAGATCCCTGGCTGAGATTCTGCCTTGTTCCCTGGAGGATTTCAAGTGGCTTTGAGAGGTTTGTGTGCTTAATCACTCAGTTGTGTCTGACTCTTTGCAACCCCATGGACTGTAGGCCACCAGGCTCCTCTGTCCATGGGGCTTCTCCAGGCAAGAATACGAGTGGGTTGCCGTGACCTCCTCCAGGGAATCTTCCCAACCCAGCAATTGAAGCCAGATCTCCTGCATTGCAGGTGGATTCTTTCCCTTCTGAGTCACCAGGGAAGCTTCCTTTTGAGAGATTTAGGGACAACAAAAATGCCCTTGCTGAGGGCTTTCCAGGTTGGAGAAAAGTTCCAAAGACACTGGGGCTCCCACTGCCCACCCTGTGTTCCACTTGACAGAGGAGAACTGAGTCTGAGCAGCGAGAAAAGCCAGAAGGAACTCACCCCCCGAGCTGGAGCAGCTCCCCCAGCGGCAAGAGGCTCTGTCCCGAGAACAGACCCCTGACCAGTGGCAGGTCAAGCCCACTGCTCTTCTTGGAGAGGCCTTTTCTTACGAAGGGCATGTGGTCCAAGATGGCAAGGCCTTCACCTGCGGCCCCCCTCACAGGGATCCTGGTCACACGGTCCAGGATGCGGTGTTTAAATAGCAGGTCTGAAATGTCTGAGGACAAGGCCCTTCTCAGGGCAGGACTCACCCTTCATTCAGTCATTCAACAGATGCCCACCAGCATCTGCCCCGGGCCAGCGATTTAGTCATTTAGCAACAAGTACTTATGAAGCACTTACTCTCTTCCGGGCTCGGGGATCAGGAGCCCTGTGGCTCGTGCCCCCATGGTGGTTACATTCTAGGGGTGGGGGCAGCGAAAGACGACAGCTGAGCCCTTAGATAAGCAGGCAAAGCAAGTTTTGAAAATAGAATGGAGTTGAGTTGGGGCATGATGGGGGGAAGTTTGTTTTAGATACGATGATCAGGGAGAGCCTCTTTGAGGGGGAGGAATTTGAGCTGAGACCTGAATGAAGTGGAGAAATCCACTATTGCAAGATATTAAGAGAGAGCAATGTAGACAGAGGCAACAGTGCATGCAAAGTCCCTGAGGTGGTGATGAACCTAGTGGGTGTATGAAACAGAAAGTTCAGTGAGTTTGGATCATGCTGAATGGGGTAGGAGGTGAATGGGTAAGAAGGACCTCACAGCAGAATTAGGGAGAGAGACAGACAGGATTACAAGTATAATATGCTTGGATAAGGCCATAGACGAGGCTTCATCAAAGGGCTGTGGGAACCCAGTGGAAGGAACCTGCTTCTGCTGGGGACACTGGGACTGTTAGACCTTGGCCTTAAGGGATGAATCAGAATTTGTTGTATTGGGGGATTGAGAATAGGGTGAAGAACAGCACAAGCTGGGAAGTCTCTAGGGCCAGTCAGGGCAAGTGGTGGAAGAGGCTGGAGAGGCAGGGCCTTGGAAACCAGGATGAGGAGCGTGGAGGATCTTATGAAGGGATTGGGGAGCCACAGCAGTGTTAGAGCAGAGGATGCGGGGGTCAGCTCTGGGCGAAGGAAGGCAAATTCTGCTGCTGGTTGGTGGGGAGGCCAGCAGAGGAAAAGCCTTGAGCAGGGAGGTGGTGCCACTTTTCCCCCCTGCTCTTCCCGGAATTCCTGCCTCCCACCACCCACCCCTTAAAATTTACCTGTTTCCAGCTGATCCTTGCTGATGCGCATGAAGACTAAGTGCTGGGCTTCACCTTGGGCCTGGGGCAGCAGCCCCCAGCAGAGCAGTGACCCCCAGAACAGCAGCATCCTCCTGCCCAGGACCTGGGGACAGAGGGCTGGGAATCCCACTGGCCATCTCCATGTCCTCAGTGGGGACCCACTGCCCAGCTTCTCCCAGCTCTGCCTGTTCTAGAGCCATCTCTCCAGTTTCCCTTCCCTCACTTCTCCCCCTCGCTCTAGAGCTACCAGTCCTTGAACACAATCTGTATATCCCACCATCTCACATCAGTACTTTCCATTCCTTCTGCCTGAAATGTTCTTTCCCCCAACTGGGCTGGCTTCCAGTCTGGACTTTGCCACTTCCTGACCGTGTGACCCTGAGCAGATTATTTGACCTCTCTGTGCCTCAGTTTTCTCATCTATAAAATGGGAGACAATCATAGATTGTTGTGGGGAATGCACTCAGTAATATGTGCAAAGCACTTAGCAAGTAGTGTGCCCAATAGCTGTTAATGTGGCTATGTGATATTGTGAGACATTAAGAGAGATAGTACTTCCGTTTAACCATGGAGGTTTCTGAATTTTGAGGAGAGGACATGGGGTAAGGGTCCTGGGAGAAGCACCACCGCAGCCAGGGTAGGCACTTGGGGGGCTTGAAGTTAGGGCTTTTTACCAACTAGTAGGGAGATACGTCAGTATTTCAAACAGTACATTCCTACTGGTTCCTGCCTGCTGAACCTCAGCCCTGCCCAGGCAGCCAATGGGGTATAGTTGGGACCCAAGAGCCTGTGACAGGGGCTGTCCAGGTGGGCAAGTCTGTGCTGCCTGGAGATGCAGCCTTTGGAACTCCAAGGCAGAGACCAGCTGGGTGCAGACCCCTCCAGGGCACATGCCAGGGTAAGCAGGACCAGTTAAAGAGCCATCACACCTCCACCCCAGTGCCCAAGAAGAAGCCACCCAGAGGGTAGATGCTGGCCCTGAGCAAGGACAGGATGCCCCCAAAGTGGCTGAACCTGCTCTGGAGCGCCTGAGAGCATCCTGGCACTGCCTTGAATCAGCAACATCCAGATTTTTGTTGTTTGATGGCAGGAACTCAAACCAGTGATTAAATTGGGTCCTAGAGAAAGAGATTTTCTTGTTTGCTTGCAGCTGTGAAGTCTGGACTGGGAAATTTGTATTCATGGCATAAACTTTTTATATTCAGCTACTGGGGTGATTTGAAACTCATCCACTCCTCATCCAGCCAGTGTTAAGCCAGTGCTCATGTCAGGCAGTTTTCCCAATCAGTTCACCCACGTCGCGTCCCTTAGTACTTCTCACCAGCCCTCTGCACATCACAGCGGTCTTGAATCATACTTGCTGAGACTTCTACTTGAGTCCCTTCTGTGTAGCAGGCTCTATGCTGAGAGCTTTATGAGCTTCATTGCATTGTTGAATTCTTACTATGATGGTCTGGGATCACTGAAGCAGGCACATTTTATAGAAATCGGCAAAACAGAGGAGAGGTGGCTCACCCAAGTCACAGAGTTGGTAGCTGTGGACCCTGGATTCAAACCCAGTTTGGCTGAGAAACTGGGAAACGGATCTCTGTACCACATCGCCACATTATTGTAGGTGCTCAAGAAATATTTGACAAATGCCCAAGTTAGCCTCCCTGTCCTTACCTCTCCAAGAGTAGGGCAGTCCAGAATCTCTGCCTGGTCTCGGTCACCAGCTTCTCAGAAAGACAAGACTTTTATAACCTGAGCTCTGAAATTCGGGTGGAAAGGAGCATGGCAGGAAGTCCAGCCTCCTGGCGGGGTTTGTGCTCAGCGGATCCCTTCAGTGGAGGGAGGGGTCCTCTTGGCACCAGACTGTTAGGGGCCTCGACTAAAATTGGCAGGGCCAGTCACTGGGGTCCCAGCAGCAGACTCTAGTCCTGGGGCAGCAGACCCCAGGGAGGAAGTGTGTGGGGGCCCTGTGATTTGGGGGGCGGGTCCTTTCCCTTAGGAGCCACTTCAGAGCTGTGGAGCCTGGGGCAGAGCCTCCAGCTCTCAGGAGGGGCCCAAGGAGACTGCTATTGCAGGATGCAGCGGTCACAGAACCCAAGGGAGCAAGGACAGATGTTGGGGTATGTGTGGAGGAGAGCAGGTGAGGGGTGGAGGCAGGCCCGGGAAGGGTGACCTTCCGTGGCTGCTCCCCATGCCCTTTCCATATACATCACCCATGCCATGCCTCTGCAGCCTGACAGGTCTGGGTTCAAATCCCCGCTGTCACTCGGTAGCTGTGTAAGTGTGGGCCAGTTACTTTCCCACCTGAGCCTCACTTTTCATGTCTGCAAAATGGGAATAATAAATCTAGCTATGTCTTTTGGGTATTGTGAAGATTCAGTGGGGCAATTCATGTGGATGTCAGAGCCTGGCACATAGGAAGAGTTCCCCAAAAGTTGCTTAATTAATAATTAATCAATTACTTTTTGGCTGTGCTGAGTCTTTGTTGAGACTCAGTCTCAACAAAGTCTTTGGGCTTCTCTTGTTCTAGAGCAGAGGCTCTAGAGTGCGTGGGCTCAGATGATGTGGTGCACGGACTTAGTTGCCCTGTGGCATGTGGGATCTTAGTTCCTCAACCAGGGATCGAACCCACTTCCCCTGCATTGGAAGGCGGATTCTTAATCACTGGACCACCAGGGAGGTTCCCCAAGTTGCTTATTTTAATTTTGATTTTGCAGATGAGAAAATGGAGACCCAGAGAGGCTAAGTGATCTGCTTAAGGTCACACAGCATGTATGTGACAAAACTGGGGTTTGAAATCAAGGCTCAGAGAGGAAACTGGTGAAAGGGAAATTCAATATTACTATGTATGCAGCTCCAAGACCTCGAGTCCTCACTGCCAAGCAAACTGCTCTGTGAAGGTCCTCTCTCGTGGGCACTGGTACCACATGGTAAATACATGTAACCAGCTCATCAGTATCCCCCAGCCAGTACAGCCATCCCAATGGTGGGCAGGACTCACCTCTAGGAGGGTTTTAGATTTTTCCATAGGGTTCTCCTTGTGGATAATTCCTTTCCCTTTCACCATCAGGGATGCAGTCAGGGCAGGTGTTAAAGTCCATTCTTGAGCTGGAGGCATGGGGCAGAGGGGCTGGGGTGGAAGGGCTGGTTCTAGAAGGCAGCAGCTGCACAGGAAATGCTAGGATAATGTTGTTAGCTGATGTCATAACTGGGGACAATATTTCAGATGGGATGTACTTTTTCTAGGATCTCGTAAAATCATGGACTTTTCGGTTGGAAGATGCTTTAAAAGTTGGGAGGTCCTCCTTATTTCTGTTGATTGGGCCTCAACATTACTGTCAATTGCTATCCTCCTGCCTCTGGCAGAAAAAGGCTCTAGGGCAAATTTCTTCATCTGAGCCATCGAGGGCTGGTGCAGGATGTTGGTAGAAATATAGAGATTGCACAAGGTCTTCCTTCCCTTCCAATATCTGGCTTCTCTAAATAGAATAGGAGGGACTATTTTGGCTGAAGGGCCATGGATTCTGTTTACCTTATTGACTAATCTCTGCTAAGAGATGGGTGATTTCCTGAGTGTCTCCTCCATGAAAGGGGAGCTCTGGGAAAAGCTTGTACACAGAGAGGTAAAAGATATCTCTACTCTTGTTTCTTAGCCTCAGCCTATTCATCTGTAAAATGGGAACGTTAATCCACAGGAAGTGTTTAGCCCTGTGCTGGGAACTGAGTAACTCTAAGGGAACAGAGGCTGTTAGTTGTCCTGTTATTTTGAGGAACAAGAAAACTGGGTCATTGTGGGATTCAGGTGGGAGGCTAGGGCAAGTGGGTGAAGTTTGTGTGCCCACCATTTCAACAACTCTGTGGTCACTTGAATTCTCACCTGTAAGACAAATACAATGATTCCTTCGAGGCAGGAGGAGTTACTGTGACATCACTTGGTGTTTGTTGCTTGCTGCTAAGGCTCAGCAGGAAGCCAAGGACTTTTCCCTCCCCCAGTCCAAGAAGGGGCTGAAATCTTGGAGCTTTGGATCTGGGGCTCCTGCCTTGGAGGTGTACAGATGCTGCTTGTGCTTCAGGGTGCAAATTGGAAGGGGATTGGCACAGAAGACCACCTCTCTTCTTCTTCATGGGGGCCAGAGACCCTGCAGAGTGATGAGGGAGCAGAGAGTAGAGGGAGGCAGTATGGTGTAATGGTTAGGGGCTGCTTGGTAGTCGGGCTGAGCCGTGAGAGCCTCAGTGTCCTCACTTGTCAGGTGGGAGCACCGTAGGCTGTAGAGAAGGCCGTGGGAGTGAAGGTCTGTAAGATCCTTGCTCCTGCAGAGCAAATGCTCATCTTGGTTTGGGTTCCCCAGAAGCAGAGCTTGAGGCCAGGATTGAGTGCCGGTAGCCGATCTGGGAGGTGGTGCCGGGAGACATTGGTAGGAGAGGGGGAAAGTGAGGCAGGGAGGGAGACAGCCCATAAAAGTGTGTATCAAGCAAGTGACCCATGGACACCTGGGGCTCAGTCCCTCTGGGGTGCCGTGGGAGCCAGTGTGGAGAGGTTCCCTGCTCCCACAGGATAAGATAGCAGGGTTACTTATCCACCAAACTCCGGGAAGCCAAGAGATCGTGGGTGCAGAACCTGGGAGCCATGGCCATGGCTGTTTTGGACAAGTGCCCCAGCGTGGCCAGAGGTCCACGCTGCTCACCTCTGACACAGGATCTTGAGGGCAGGGTGGCCATCTGTTCATCAGGACCATATGTTACCAAAGACCAGAGGTCAGCCCCATCCTCTAGGCTCCACAGAAACCTCACAACTGAACCTTGTAGGACCTTAGGGAACCAGAGGAGCCCCACCCCAGACATGATGGAGATGGACTGTCTCATCTCCCTTGTGAATGGGGGCTCAAAATCCCAGATTTAACATGACTTAGAAAAATAATGGAATGTGGTGTGTAGGATGTGGACCACAAAGTGTGGCTGGGGGTCAAGGGTGCGTGGGGAACTGCTGCACAGGGCCTGGCACTCAGAATTGCCCAGTGAGTGTTCGCTGACCCCGGTGTTAGCACCCTGTGTGGGCCTACCCATGTCCTGTAGGAGAAACTCCTTTCTGGCTGCCTT